CGCTCAAGTGACTTTTTTGACGAAAACTTTGGATAGTGCTCAAATTTACTGTTAATCACTTTGACATATGAAATATTCAAATATCTAATCAAACACTGTGTACACATAGTGTACAACATAGTGTTGAGCACTTGTATGTGCACGTGTACCAGGGGTTTCTCTGAATGCGCTGTAGTGTTGCGGGTGTGCCTACTCCATTTACTGTTAAAACATTACCTTGCAAAATGCCAAATCCTTCGCAATGCCGGAAACATTTGATTTGTACCTGCAAAAGCATTGCTTCCCAATTGCGAAGGATTTGGCATTTCGCTTCGTAAGGTTGTAACTGTGGTCGTTCGTTAAGGATCATCCAGAAAGTACGCCCGTTATTTGCTCTTTTGAAAGAAGTTCCAAGTTCGGCCTCTGCAAGCGCTCATAGCGCCTGGTAGGTAGGCAATACATGCGTGTACTGCAGGCTGGCCTACTCTGAGTTTCGCAGGCGCCGAGCTCCCGTAATATGCCGAATGATTTTGAGAAAAACGGACGTACTTTCTGGACGATCATTAGGGCACCATGCCCCCCGCAGTCCTAGCGATTATGCAATCCCGCAACACTGGAGCGTATGCAAAGAGACAGCCCGTGATACAGGAGCTAACCTGCTGCGAGGGCTGCGTTGTAACTGATGCGTACTTTCGCTTGCCTACTGGGCAACATCTACGGTCTCGTGCAGTGAAGCTGTCTAGTAGGCAGGCACCGATACAGAATACATTCCGCTACACGCAGGTACCAGCGGGTGTTTTGGCCTAACTTTGGCCTAACTTTTCTGCTGGCAGTTCACACTAGTTATTAACATAGACAGCAAACTTAATACAATAATGTCGTACAGGATGCACACCTTGACCGTGAAATCAACTCTACTATAGCTTATCACCACGATGTCATTCGGTAAGTTCTAGTTTTATAACAGTTAGTTGGTTTATTTTAAATAAAAAGCATACAGAAAGTATAAGATTTTGGGCTGCATTTTAGCTCACCCCGAAAACAGAGCGGCTGCTCTGAAATCACGAAGTTCCATCGACCACTGTGATGGCCAGTTACGCAATTTCGGGGAAATTCTCTTTTACATGGTGTTGTATTCAAAAGTTGCCTGTGTGATTTTCTTTATTTTTTAAGGGGAAAGGGACTTTTTATTAAGATAAATAAAATATTAGTAATTTTACGCTACTAGGTGGGGAAAGAATAACTGTTCTAGTTTCAGGTGATTTCTTAGATTTCGAGGAAGTCTCCTGTTTTCCTCAAATATGGGAGGCCCTCTTTCCCCTTTTCCTCAAAAACCCATACATTGTTTGACCGTGCGCTAAGGCGCCATGGTCAGGGGCGATTGACAAGCACGCCCACACACTAGCATTTGGTACAGTATAGAGGCGGGTTCACGATCATATTCCCTAACCTAAACGTGTTTTCTTAACACGTTGAGTGCGGCGGGGGTAGGCAATCCCATGTTATTGGGACCCACGGTGTGGGTCAAGCGGAATTCCTTAAGCGAAATGAACGCTTGCTTAGACGGATTTCCCATCCTGTACGGAAAAGGCGCTAAGGGGTGCTCTACGCTAGATCGTGTAGATCGTGTAGATCCGAGGCGGCGAACAATCAGAGAGTAGAACGGTCCGCGTGGTTTCGTTTAGCGTAAGAAGCATCGTGAATGCTCTTCGCGTATGACAAAACACGCTTACACTAAGAAAACACGTTTAGCGTACGGGAGGGTGATCGTGAACATGCCTTACCTAGAAAAGAGCGCGCGGGGTTAATCAGCCACCTGATACATCTTTAAAATTCGTTCGTAGGCTCCTGGATCATTACAATGAATGCTTCGCTGGGACAATGTTTACTCGGCACCTTCTAACTCTTCTCTTCATTTCTGCAAGTGCTCTGCTTTTTATGACGGTTCGTAAAAGCGATATTTATTGACTGTTGAATAGTCTAAAATAATATCGTGCTTAAACTCAACAGCTTAGACTTAACAAGCGAAAGTTATTTATTTACATTCGTAAAACCATTCAAATTTAGGTAATTTCGATTTATTTTTTTATCCAGGATCCAAGCAATTTACAAGCATTCAGCATTGTCGTTTTTACTCTCGTTTCAATGGGTTTGTTTGCCTACTTGGGCGAACAGGTGAACGTTGCGGTGAGTACTAAACGACTATGGAGTACTTATGCTAAGTAGCACCCAGACATCGTATCTTTCGTAACTTCGTCGTTACTAATGAAATTTTCGACGCAGAAGAGACAAATTTTCTTCAACAGAACAAAATTTGATTAGTTTGACGTCCCTGACGTCACCCGAACGAAAAATATGACTTCTGTTTCTGGCATGACATTTTCACCACAGATTACAGTAATTACAATTTATTTCCGCCAAAGACACGGATTTTTTACTGTTCTAAAGGTGAGGCTCCAATCAAACCTGGAACCTATCGCCCATCATTTCAGATTTTGCTGTTATTGATGCAGCCCA